ACAAGATGCTTCCTACAAAAACCAGAATGTGAATCTTTTCCTAAAATTTCATGGTGATATGTTGAACACTGAGGAAGTTATGGGAAAAATTAGAAAACAAGAAGGTGAACTGGTCCCACTGGTTCTGCTGTGAACTGCAGCAAGAAAACATGAGCTGATTTCACCTGAACAAACATAACTTCCCTCAGACTTCAGATCATCACATGACTCTGGTGTTATTTTTRATGGTTTGAAATGTTCTTTTGGAATCTGCTGTCAGATTTAATATTGGTTTAGGATTAATAATTTATCCACCTCCCTAAAACATGCTGGGGGCTAAGCCCCCCCACATATCAGCTCCTAGAACACCCCTGTCCCATCGTCAGGTTCTGTTATGGTGGGTGTTGGACTTTAAATGTACAGGTGAAAATAACTTTCTGAACATTAATCAACTGCAAAAAAGAAAACGAGTTAAATAATAAATGTAAAACATGACAAATGTTAGCAGCTGCACAAACAGTTCTCGGTGGAGCAGCAGCTCCTACCTGGATGTCCCGGCATGTCGCCGCGCTCTGCCGGTCCTCCTCCAGCTGCTGCTCCACCAGCCCGACACCGACACTGAAGGCTAGAAACACGGCCCTGCTCCGCGGGGACCCTCCCGTCAACCCCCTCCTTAACCCGGCGGACTGAAGCTGACATGCCAAGCCCTTAAGGGAGGTCCGGTAATACCGGTACCGAGACGGCAAGAAAACACGGGGCTGAATTACGCGGCCCGACTGGGCCACACGAAGTCGGTCGGTTCGGAGTTTGGCCGCGACCCGTCCACATGATTTTAGGAGACCCAGCTGAAAGAAAGAGCGACCCAGCTCCAGCCCGCGAATTATGGTGTGTTTCACCGACATAATGACGCGTCTTCATCAAAACAACATCTAACGACCAAAACAACACCCACTGAGCATGCGTGGAACTCACTGCTTCTGTTTAAACAGCGGCAGGCAACGGTTTGCTGCATTACTGCCCCCTACTGGACRGGAGTGTGCATCGTTCATTTTAAATAGCAACATGATCTATAACAGAGGTGCCCAAAGTGGGGCCTGTGGGCCAAATTTGGCCCGCCAAGCCATTTGATTTGGCCCACTAGCAGTTATCCTGGTTACCAGATTGTAATCTCCTGTCTTATGTAGAAATACTATATTTACACTTAGTCTTTTCAACCATTGGTCCAACTATACATACAAGGAGCTGTCATGCAGATGGTTTTAACTAGTAGTGCTCACTTTATCTTTGAATTATGTTAAGATTAAACATAAAACACAAGTAACTTCAGTAGACATTTATATTAGATCTAAGTGCACATCTAGAGTTGCACACCTTAAAAGACCACATATACTCAAATTTTAAATTATGAAAAGTTTTATGAGCCTTTGCTGCCTGAGAAAACATTGAATTTTCTCCATGTCCATGGGCTGAAAAAAAAAACCACAAACAAAAAAATGTGGGCAACCGCACCGGCTGCTAGCTTAATCATAAAAAATACAACTTTTTTTTGAAGTATTTGCATTTCGTGTATTTTATTATTGAATTTGGCCCACCGCCTTCAGATTGATTTTTGTTTTGGCCCTTTCAGGGAAAATGTTTGGGCTCCCCTGGTCTATAAGGTTCTAAGTAAGGCCTCGAAAATGCAAAAAGAAGAAAGGAGTGATACAAAAAAATTCTAAGTAAGCATTTTATTACAAACAAGCAACGGTGGGCAGCACTAATCTAAAAATTAGTTCCACTAGCCCTAAAATACTAACTCTAATTGTAAAACATTAACGCACTGAACACTTTAGCAAAAGCTAATTCTAAAGCACTAAAATAACCCTGTCAACCCAGGAACATCCTTCAACAGACAACATGGGTCACATGTTGCTCTCTTAATACTTATCATTGACATTCCTCASCTGTATTTGGGTTCATATATTGTTAACATATTGTCACCTGGTGGATACAAGACACATATGATGAAAATGTGACAGTTTTCACCCTCAGCTGTTAACATTAACATTGATCAATAACATTTATAGACCTCAGTTYGTGCTTCTAAATTTAGCCCATAAATTTAGTGCTAATCCACTAATAAATTTTAAAATTAGCAAAAGCACTAATCAGGAAATTAGTTCCCCTCTTAGTGCTTTAGGAGCACTGTGCCCACCAAGTATTAAACTGAAATAGGCTGTTCTTCAACTGATCAAATGTTTAGAACCATATCTTTAAAAAAACTATTAAATTTGAAAGAAGAAAAGAACTCGGGAATGTGTATTTGAGCCATTCTTGTTAATCACTTCAAAGTTTTTGTTTCAGCATTCTGCTCCAAGTGGTGAAGATGGCTTCATGGAGACTATCCTCTGTCTGGAACTGGTGTCCATCCATCCCCAAATGGTCTTAGTTGGCTCAGATGGTCTTAAAAGGTGACGCTTTCTTTGGCAGAAGTTCTTTGTCAATCGAGCAATTCAATTCAGTTAATTTCAATTCAATCCAATTCAGTTTATTTATAAAGCGCCAAGTCACATAATACGTTGTCTCAGGGCACTGTGCATGAAAAAAGAACAATGTAAAGAAGAAAGCAGCAGATTGTGTTGAATCACTTCATCAAAGTCTCCCATCCTGAGCAAACGGTGGAGAGGAAAAACTCCCTGCTAATCAGGAAG